GGGACAGGACTCTTGTTTGGAAAACATGGGCATATGAGAGTTGAGGTTTACACTGATGCAGATTTAGCTGGTTCTGTGGATGACAGGAAATCTACTAGTGGCTATTGTGCCTTTGTTGGGGGAAATCTTGTTACTTGGAGGAGTAAGAAATAGAGTGTGGTGGCCAGATCGAGTGCAAAAGTTGAATACAGGGCCATGTATCATGGTGTGGCAGAGCTTCTATGGATAAAGAATCTCTTGGGTGAATTAGGCTTTCCTCTCAATGATCCTATGTCGCTCTATTGTGACAATAAGGCTGCCATCAACATTGTAGTCAATCCTATTCTCCATGATAGAACCAAACATATAGAGGTTGACAAACACTTCATCAAGGAAAAATTGGAAAAAGGAGAAGTTTGCACTCCCTACATCAATTCTAAGGAACAACTTGCAGACATCCTTACTAAAGGATTAAACTCCATGCGGCACTATAATCTTTGTGACAAGTTGGGGATGATTGATATCTATGCCCTAACTTGAGGGGGAGTGATGTAACTCTATAGTTATATGCCGCAGGGGCACTCTTGTCTTTTTATCTTCTATTTTCTTTATTGTCACCCTATCATATAAATACAAAATTACTGGCGCCGCCAGTTTGAGTTTTTTGGTCAAAATTCTTCTCGCCACTCTCTCTCTCCTCTCTTTCTTCTTCTTCTTCTCCTCTCTCCTCTTGATCGAGATCACAGGGAACGTAGGGGAAAGGGAAGGTAAGGAAGCTACAAGGGAGTTAAACAAGGATTTACAAGTAAAAGTCCCAACCGAATTAAGGGTCCAGACCCTGCTGTCCACACCCCCATCCCCAAGAACCACTAGATTCAGCAAAGAAAGCAAAGCAGATACAAGGGGAATTTCAGACTCTCTAAGATTACTAATGAGGCCCAAGTTCCAGTTTAGCTCAGGAGAGGAAGAGAAGCAAATGAAGTCAGCCACCGGTCTACCTTTGAGATTGGAAATAACATAAAGTGAGGGGAAGATCTCCATCAAAGGGGACTCCCCAATCAAAATATCTTCCCAAAACCTAATATTTTGACCCAAGACCAAGTCATACCAGTTGTGACTGAGGAAAACAAGAAGATGGTCGTGAATGGCTTTCCAAGGAGTAGCCAAGCTAGCTCTATGAAGACAACCATCATCGCATCCATTGTTTTGATAGTCCGTGAACGCTTGCTACCACTTTGTGCCAAAGCCTATTGCTTTCCCTCGGGAATCTCCATAGCCATTTGCTCAATAATGGCCTAATTTTTCATTCTAATGTTCCCAATCCCCAACCCTCCAGCCTTCAACTTCGACACCTTCTCCCACCTAAGCAAATGATCTTTTTTTCCCTTCCCCGGGTTCCCACAAAAAGTCTCTCATGATCTTTTCCAACTTTCTCACAACAGCTTGGGACATCCTAAAAAAACAACATAAAATAGACAAGAAGGTTAGCAGGTAGATTTGATCAATGTTATTCTCCCACCTAGAGAAATGTAATTTCTCTTCCACCCAATTAATCTCTTCTCAAACCTTTCCACCACCAGATTCCAAAAACTCAATGATTTAGGGTTGTCATCAAGAGGTAACCCTAGGTACTTGACCGGCAAATTCCTTTCTCACAACCCAGATAACTTGCCATATCCCCCAACAAATCTTCATGCACATTAAATTCCAACCAATACACTTATTCCAATTAATCCTCAAATTGGAAACCCTCTCAAGAGATTCACTACCAACTTCAAATTTTCCACCCCATCTCTACCATCCCCCACACAAACGACTAAGATATCATTCGCAAATTGTAAGTGAGCTACCTGAATTCCATCCCTCCCAACTAACCAACCATTAATAAAATGCAAACTATTGGCTCTTGAGGTATACTTGCTAAGCACCTCAGGTACCAAGGTAAATAGGAAGGGAGACAATGGATCACCTTGTCTAAGGCCTCTAATCCCTTCAAAGAAATCAACCACCGAACCATTGACAAGAATTGAGTAATGAGTAGATTACAAACAACCTCTTATCCATTTGCACCACAGCTCTCCAAAACCACAGCTTCTCATGATCTTAATTAAAAACTCCCAACCCACAAGATCATAAGCTTTCTCCACATCCAACTTAACCACAATTCCTTTCTTCCTTGATCTCTTCTGGGCCTCGACACACTCATTAGTAATTAAAATCATGGTTTCAAATGTCGCCAAATGCCGCTAATGTCGCCCGACGTATGTCGATGTCGAAGCTCACCAACATGAAAGTGGATGGTAATATAAAAATTACATTATGTCGGTCGACATTTCCTATATTTCGGAAATGTTGACCAAATCGGTCCAAATAACCAAAAAAATACAGTTTTCCTATTATGTCAACAAGATGTCGACAGGATGTTAACTAATGTACATTAAAAATATAATATATTAGTAATATTATATTAATATAATACAGTATATTAATATAGATTATTCCATTAATAATTTCTATTTACTATTTCAAATAAAATATTTATAAAAAGAATTAACAAAATATAAAAACAAAAGGATAAATTAATTACTTTATAATATAAAACAAAATATTTTTCAAGTAATAAAATATTAACTAGTTAGTATTTTTTAAAATATTTATTAAAATCAGAA